ACTTTAGCAAAACCTTTTCATTCCTAAACTTGAGAATATTCGATTATGAAGAATCATTCATTAATTTCTTGAGCTTTTTAATTTTCAATATCTGATCTAATTCCTTAGACCTTAAATTGTTTAAGTATTTATACGCACAGAGCATGAAATCAATGCTTAAAATTAATAAAATATTCGTTCACTTTTTTACTGTTAAACAGTATATAGAGTTGTTTATCATATAGGTAATTTCCAATATGTAATTTATAGGGATCTCTAACATGAGTAACAATTAATCGTTATTGGCCCACAAATATTAGAAATATTTATGAAAATTATTGATAATTGTAATTTATCAGTTCTTTTATGACTTATGCATTACTGAGGAATTTACAAAATATTTTTCTTAGTTTAATATTCCATTACGAAATATTTAAGTTGCTTCAGAAATTTTTTGTTTATTCATATTGGTGCTATTATTTTAGTTGGTTAATTTTTTAAAGCATATATTAAATATTATTTTATCTAGCATGATCTAGAGAGAGTATTTTATTTTAATTATTGTTTTATTATTATTGCAATATAATTTCAAAATCTGATAATAGATAAAGAACTGTTTGAAGCATCAAACGCATTCAATAATTTGTAATTTGTGTATCATATGAAGATAGTATTCCTGACTGGTTTGATTCAGCTTTTCTTACTGAAGCTTCGTTTCCAACATATATATATATATATATATATATATATATATATATATATATATATATATATATATATATATATATATATATATATATATATATATATATATATATATATATATATATATATATATAATATATATATATATATATATATATATATATATATATATATCATGCCGAATAGGTAAAACTTGCGATTTTGGCTAAAATTGCAACGCTCTTCTTGGCGAATAAGGAAAGCTAAAATTTGTGTATGCAGTTTCACAAAATTCACTATGAAGCTAACGAAAAAAATATATTTCGTTGTGTGCGTTTATTATTAAATTATTGTAAACTTATCTAAAATATATTTAGTTGGGTTTGGCTAAATTAAATTGTGCTTGTTATAATAAGGTCAGGTAAGTTTTCTAAGGTTCTTTTGGTACAAAATTATTAATTTTTACATTAACATTAATGAAAAAATATATCTTTAAACTATATCTAAACTATATCTTTAAAATCTATCTTTAAAAATATATATCTTAATTTTAAATGAGCTCTTGCTAATTGACCAATTTTACCTATTCGGCACGTATATATATATATATATATATATATATATATATATATATATATATATATATATATATATATATATATGTATGTATGTATATATATATATATATATATATATATATATATATATATATATATATATATATATATATATATATATATATATAGTATATATATATATATATATATATATATAATATATATATATATATATATATATATATATATATATATATATTGTGAATGTGTGTGTAAATGTATGTATGTATGTATGTATTTATATAAATTTATGCATACATATATTAAATGGCTTACATTGTGAGAATAATTTAATAATTCAATATCTCTCCAATAGGTAAGGTATATAGAAAGTGTATAATATTGAAGAAAATGAACTAGAAGAAGCATCTTCCCTTCTTGCACACATACATTATGTAAATAAATAATATCTGAGCTGCAATAGATTATAACAAGAGGAAAATTTTTTTTATCATATGATGGGAGGTCTAGGTTATAAAATATAATTCAACAGTACACAGCAACCCCCATGTGTACACTTGTGTCCTCTAGTAAATTAAAATTGAGTAAAGGTTTGCTCTTGTTTATACTTCCCTTCTTAGTGGTTTGGTGGTGCCGGGGCCCCCGACATCACTCATGGTGCCACGGCACTCGCCATGAGTAGTGGTGCCACCGTACCTGCCCTGACTGGAGGTACCACAGCACTCGCGATGACTAGTGGTGCCACCGTACCTGCCCTGACTGGAGGTACCACAGCACTCGCCATGACTAGTGGTGCCACCGCACCTGCCCTGACTGGAGGTACCACAGAGCTCGCGATGACTAGTGGTGCCACCGCATCTGCCATGACTGGTGGTACCACGGCACTCGCCATGACTAGTGGTGCCGTGGTCCTCGCCACGACTGATAGTGCCACAGCACCTTCTTTGACTGATGGTGCCACAACACCTGCCATGACTGGTGGTACTAGGGCACCTACCATGACTGGTGGTACTACGGCACTTACCATGACTAGTGGTGCCACAACACAAGCCACGCCTGGCTGTGCTACAACACAAGCCACGCCTGGCTGTGCTACAACACAAGCCACGCCCGGCTGTGCTACAACACTAGCCACGACTGGTTGTGCTACAACACTAGCCACGCCTGGCTGTGCTACAACATAAGCCACGCCTGGCTGTGCTACAACATAAGCCACGCCTGGCTGTGCTATAACACTAGGCACGCCTGGTTGTGCTACAACACAAGCCACGCCTGACTGTGCTATAACACCAGGCACGACTGGCTGTGCTACAACACAAGCCACGCCTGGCTGTGCTACAACACCAGGCACGACTGGCTGTGCTACAACACAAGCCACGCCTGGCTGTGCTGCAACACCAGGCACGCCTGGTTGTGCTACAACATAAGCCACGCCTGGCTGTGCTACAACACAAGTCATGCCTGGCTGTGCTACAACACAAGCCACGCTGGCTGTGCTACAACACAAGCCACGCCTGGCTGTGCTGCAACACAAGCCACGCCTGGCAGTGCAACAACACAAGCCACGCCTGGCTGTGCTACAACACAAGCCACGCCTGGCTGTGCTACAACACTAGCCACGCCTGGCAGTGCAACAACACAAGCCACGTCTGGCTGTGCTACAACACAAGCCACGTCTGGCTGTGCTACAACACAAGCAACGCCTGGCTGTGCTACAACACAAGCCACGTCTGGCTGTGCTACAACACAAGCCACGTCTGGCTGTGCTACAACACAAGCAACGCCTGGCTGTGCTACAACACAAGCAACACCTGGCTGTGCTACAACACAATGCACGCCTGAGTGTGCTACAACACAAGCCACGCCTGACTGTGCTACAACACAAGCTAAGCCTGGCTGTGCTACTACACTAGCCTCGCCTGGCTGTGCTACAGCACTAGCCTCGCCTGGCTGTGCTACAACACTAGCCACACCTGGCTATTCTACAACACTAGCCACGCCTGGCTGTGCTACAACACTAGCCAAGCCTGGCTGTGCTACAACACAAGCCACGCCTGGCTGTGCTACAACACTAGCCACGCCTGGCTGTGCTACAATACTAGCCACGCCTGGCTGTGCTACAACACAAGCCACACCTGGCTGTGCTACAACCCAAGTCACACCTGGCTGTGCTACAACACAAGCCACACCTGGCTGTACCGCAACACAAGCCACGCCTGGCTGTGCTACAACACAAACAACGCCTGGCTGTGCTACAACAGAAGCCACGCCTGGCTGTGCTACAACACAAGCCACGCCTGGCTGTGCTACAACACTAGCCACGCCTGGCTGTGCTACAATACTAGCCACGCCTGGCTGTGCTACAACACAAGCCACACCCGGCTGTGCTACAACACAAGTCACACTAGGCTGTGCTACAACACAAGCCACACCTGGCTGTGCTACAACACAAGCCACACCTGGCTGTGCTACAACACAAGCCACACCTGGCTGTGCTGCAACACAAGCCACACCTGGCTGTGCTACAACACAAGCCACACCTGGCTGTGCTGCAACACAAGCCACACCTGGCTGTGCTACAACACAATCAACGCCTGACTGTGCTACAACACAAGCCAAACCTGGCTGTGCTACAACATTAGCCACGCCTGGCTGTGCTACAACACAAGCCACGCCTGGCTGTGCTACAACACGAACAACGCCTGGCTGTGCTACAACAGAAGCCACTCCTGGCTGTGCTACAACACTAGCCACGCCTGGCTGTGCTACAACACAAGCCTCCTAGCTGTGCTACAACACTAGCCACGCCTGGCTGTGCTACAACACAAGCCACACCTGGTGGTGCTACAACACAAGCCACACCTGGCTGTGCTACAAAACTAGCCACACCTGGCTGTGCTACAACACTAGCCACACCTGGCTGTGCTACAACACAAGCCACACCTGGCGGTGCTACAACACAAGCCACACCTGGCTGTGCTACAACACTAGCCACACCTGGCTGTGCTTCAACACTAGCCACACCTGGCTGTGCTACAACACACGCCACACCTGGCGGTGCTACAACACAAGCCACACCTGGCTGTGCTACAACACACGCCACACCTTGGTCTAACACACCCTGGTGATGCCACAACACAGGCCACTCGATGACAGGTATATATGTAAAAAAAAGAAAGACTAAACTGGTAACAACAAACACAGCTGAGGAGGTCCATTTTCAGTGCCACGGGGGCACCGCTGGCCTGAGCCAGGCATCGCTGGCCTGGGCCAGGCACTGCTGGCAAGGGCCAAGTAAGGAACAGTAAGCACAGCCTTGGCTCAAGCTATACATCGGCGAAGTGCCAAGCTGCCAGGCCTATAACCAAGTATTAACTGTGCGAACCCAGTAACTGAGTTCACCTCTCACTAAAAGTGGATTTCTAAAATTAACAGCTAAAGTTCTTAAAGCATTACAATTTCCCAACAGTACTGGGACGCAAATCACAAATTATATGAAAATCGCCCACTGTTTGTAGAATTGATGTAATAGTTATCATAATGGATTAAGCAGTTGCAACCATACTTAATAACTTCAAATTCTTACTTTCCTCTAGTACTAGTCAAGATAGTGTCTGAAAAGTTATAAACTAAAGGTGGACTAGGGCCGCAGGCTGGCAGTCTGACGTTAGTCAGTTCCTTAAGCCCAGTTCTAACACTTCACACCGCTTCACGGATGCTCTGACGCCAAGCCTTAAAATCTCATATACAAAACGAATAATTAGAGAGACGATATTCTTAGTACACCTTGATTGGCTGGGGAGGCTGACCCTAGGGCGGGCGTGGGGAAGTCACTGTCCCCATTGGGTGATGGCGTAGGTAGATTAACAATGGCTGTGGTGACTGTGGTAGTGGAATTGGGTTTGCTCACCGCTACCACACTTGGCGCAGCACCTGGACTACTAGACGTGCTGGTAACGGTGTTAGTGTTGGTGATGGGGATGGGGTGTAGTGGGCTCTGCTGATTCAGGTGCCCCCACCCACTTCTGTCTGTTGTGGTGTTGAGTAGCGTCTTGTCGCGGACATGGATCTCATTTAGCTCCTCGTCATATCCGCGTTCTGCGCTGGTGCCGCCTTTACG